CGTCCAGGGGGCGTTTTCTGGGCAGCTCAACCCTCGTTTAGCAACCGTTCAAAGTTACGATGGCACTGAAAAAAAGTGACTTGCGCTTACGACTGTGGCAGTGCCACAAACTGCCATCCGGGCCCCTGGCAAGCAGCTCCCATTTACTGACGGTCACACAAGCGACACTTGCCAGCTTTGCAGCTGCCTTCCAACATGCAAAACCCAGTGGGGATGCCGGCAGAGGAGGTCGCAAGTTGTGGTCATGTGATGGCTCACTTTTCTAACCCCAAGAGTGGTTGTAAATCAAGGACTCCCTGTATTCCTCCAGTTTTTTCTTTCATTCTTTTTCTTTTTTTATTTTTCCCTTTCTTTCTCTTCCTTCCTACCTTTCTTCTCCCCTTATTTTTTCGTTCTTTCTTTTTTCTTTCTCTTCCTTCCTACTTCTTCCTTCCCTCCCTCTTCTCCCCTTCCTTTGTCTTTTCTTCTTTCTCTTCCTTCCTATCTTCCTCCCTCTGTCTCTTCTCCCCTTCCTTCATTCTTTTTTTCTTTCTTTCTTTTTCTTTTGTCTTTATTTTTTTCTTTTTCTTCCTTCCAATCTTCCTCCCTCCCTCCTTCCCTTCTCCCCTTCTTCATTCTTTCTTTGTCTTTATTTTTATTTTTCTTCCTTCCTATCTTCTTCCCTCCCTCCCTCTCTTCTCCCCTTCCTTCCTTCCTTCCTTTTTTGGAACCTGACAGAAAGTACAGTGTTTTCTGACACACTCACACCCTTAAAATCAGGACAAAAAGCACGCAGAAGTGCCTTCCCCTTCTAGAATCTTGTTCCACCTAATGGGTGAAACTGGGAAGGACCTTCTTGTCCGATCCGGCTCCTCTTACACTTCCTGCTAGGATCAAAATGTACGTCTGCACCCTCCAACCTGGGTGCCCTACCAGATCAGGGTTCCCCTTGCTGGGTTTTTAAAAACCCCTATCTCAAGTTTTTCTAACTTTTTGTCTGGGTTTTCTAAGTCATCCAATTTTAAAATTTCACAAAATCTCAAGTTTTCCTATACAGGCACAGTCCTCGGCTTTTACAATCTGGCAACCTGTTCAAAGTTACGAGGACACTGGAAAAAAAAGTGACTTGCCACAGGTCCTCACTCTACGCCCGTCAAGGCAAAAACCTCACAATCGCGTGAGAACAAAATTTGGGTGCTTGGCAGCTTTGTACCCATGAGGGGTTGCTGCAGCCTCTGGAATTAGGGGATTGCCCATTTGCAGCCTTTCTGTCAGTGCGGGGGGGGGGGGGGGGGGACCAAGATCCACTAAAGGACAACAGGAAACACTTAACCATGGTGGCCAAAAAAAAAAAAAAAAGCTGTAAAATCAGGCCCAGCATAACAACGGAAGCCCTTAGCAACACAACTTCCCAATTGTGATCAAGAAGTATCTATACCTTATATTGTAGGATCCTGCTAGGGGGAGGTGGGGGTTGGACTAGATGACCTACAAGGTCCCTTCCAACTCTGTTAATCTGTTTTAAAAAAAATGTCAATTAAATAGGTAAAAATAATTCAGTTTAAAACTGATGCGTTGTGATTTATTTATTTTTTTAAAGAAATCCCGCTGGCTACCTCGCTCCAGACAGTGCCAGAGTTCGAAGGCTCGGGGTGAGAGAAAGCGAGGAAATGGGGGTGACCTCCCACCCTCCACCCCCGCAAGGGAGCCCATCGTGCGAGTCTTTCCTTTTCTCCCTGCTGCAAAGCTACTCCCCAACTCCTGGCCCTTTGCACCCCCAAACCCAGCTACCTTTCTAAGCAATGCCAATGCTCCCAGCCCCATGGAGGAACGAACCCTCCCCCTCCTGCACCCCAATAATCTCCCCGCTTCTTGCAAAGGGGCCCCCGAAGTCAGACATGGAAGGCTCTGCCTGATCCCAGCAGCTTCCCTCGGCTCACAAAAGGGGCTTTTCCCAGCTTCTCCCCCACACACACACACTCACACAACCTTTAACATTTTTCCAACAATGAAAAGCGGAGTTAAAACGCATTTTAAGGCCTGAGAAATTCTCTCGTCAGCTCCTCCTCCCAGCCATTCAGCCCCAGCCTGGCCCTGAGGCAAGGAGGGAACTGTAGACTAGCCAAAAAAAAGGGGGGGGGAATAATTTCATATTTGCGGTCCTTTTCGCCAGAATAAGCGGTGTGAATTCCACAAAGCAAAAATCAGGCCCGGCACGGCCGAAGGCTTTCCAAATGCAGCTTTAAATCTTAGCTAAGCCCACTAGCCAAACTATGGTTTATTATTATTCAACCCTACCGGAGTTCAACTGACTTCATCCAGACCTTGGGTTGGGAGTCTCGCTTGGGAAAAGAGCTGGCCGGTGTCCCGGTCCAAGGCCGAGTCACAAAATGGATTCTGCCAAGAGGTTTCCACTTAAAAATAAAAAAAATCAGGTCCTTCGTCTTCGCCTTTGCAACCCGAGCAACGTGTTGCAATTCACACACACACACACAAAAAAGGCTGAATCTGCCCCAACCGGAGAGAAGGTGCACCCCAGAAGTGCCAATCACCCCAGAAATTGAGGAGGGGTTTTTTCCTCACCCCTGCCTTGGCCCAGACCAGATTCCGGGTCCATTCCAGAAACAAAAAAAAACAGCAGGTTTTGCTAAGCAGATGGGATTTGCTGGGCCCCCCCCCCCTTGCAGTTATCTGCAGCCCCCCCCCCCCTCCCCAAACTGCAATAGCTCTAACTAAGGGGCTGCCTTCATTCTCTCCAGACCCTCCAACTGGGGAGGGAAAAGTCCCCACCCCCAAAAGGCCTTTGCAACACACCCTGCTAGAGAGACAACCGGTTACACCCCCTTACAAGCTTCACACCCAGATCCACCCTTCTTTCCCAAGCCAAGGGGGGAGTTTTTCCTCCTGCAGCCAGAGGACCCCTGCACCCTCCCCCATTCTTGCAGGGATGGGGGGGGGATGTGTGGAAAAGAGCCAAACACACACACACACACACACCAGGCCAAAAGGCTGGGGGCGGGGCTCTTTACCCAGAAAAGAAAGATGCCATCCATTCACAGCCAAGAGACCCCAAACAACTACTCCCACCCCACCCCCCAAACAGATGGATAAGGAGAGGAGGGTCAGGTTTATGCTTTCCCCCCCCTCCAATATACTGAACCCCACAGGTTGCAACCTTGATAGTTTAATATACGCTGGGGGAAGCCACACACTGGGATGAATGCAACAAGCCATGGTTTATTTGCAGGAAACCAGAATGTGCCCTGCATTCCCAGTTGCACTAAGCCAGGATGTCACTGAGAGGTTTGGGGTGAAGCGGGTTGCCCGAATCAAGGCTAACACTCATCGCCCCTCCAAAGGAGGCATGTCTGCACACCCCCTAGTTCTCAACCCCCCCCCCCTCTTCTCTTCATTGGTGACCAGGGCAGAACAGGCCCAGAATCGGGGTTCTTCTCCCCCAAAGTGGACCCCTCCCACAATCTCCCAACCAGTTCAGACTGGAAGGGGGTTCCCCAGCTCAAAGGGACCCACGAATATCTGACCTGTCCCCCCACCTCCCAGTTTCTGCTTGCCATGCCAGCCCTCTGCTCCCCCCCGGATTGCCTCCCCCATTTCAAAAACAAAGATGCCAAACAGCAACCCTGGGAGGTAGGCCACTCCGCCATGCGGAAGGGCCCAGAGAGGGCAAGAAGCTGAGCAGCAGCTCACGCACTGCACCAAGTTGGGGTGCCTGCCAGGCATTTGAACTCCCGGAGAGGAGGCCCAGCTTAGCAGGAGGGAGAAACCCAGGTTGTTCCTGTTGGGGGTTAAAGCCAACAATCCTGGCTTGTTGTCAGGGAGAGCGTGGAAGAGCCCACGCAGAACGGAACCAGAGTTCCCTGGAAGAGCCTTCAAGGGCTCCCCTAGCATCACACACACACACACACACACACACACACCCCAAGCCTCGCCCCGGATCAGATGCAACCCACCCAGGTTGCATTGCAATCCGTTCACACGTGCAAAGCCCGGAATAAGACCGTGCCAGGCCCCGGGCAGGACACACACACACACACACACACACCGTGCTAACCCGGGACAGTTGCAACCCAGCCAGGTTGCATTGCAATCCGTTCACATGTGCAAAGCCCGGACTAAGACCGTGCCAGGCCCCGGGCGGGACACACACACACACACACCCTGATGCCAAGGGGCAAAGCGAGGAGCCCACTCCCAAAAGGGCCAAGGACCCCCCTCCCGCTTTAGAGGCCAGGCCAGGGAAGGGGGGGCCGAGGCCCGGAGGGCTCCCTAGGCTAGGCAGAGCCAGGCAGGGCGACTCCGCTGGCCCCCGGGGCCGCTGCCCGTCCTTGCAGGCCAGCTTGGGGTTCGCGGAGCCTCCCCAGGCCGCTCGCCCCGGAGCAGCGCCCCTCGGAGCAACGCCCGGGACCCTCCCCCGGGCAACCCTCCCTTCCCGCTACCGAGCCGGGGGGGGGCTCTTCCCCTTGCAAAGCGCCCCGTCCGGGGAGACCCTCCGATCGCCTCCCCCACCCACCCCAAGCCCGGCGGCTCCTTTGCAATGCACGGCCGCCCCGACGGTTGCAACCACGCCTTCCCGGACCCCCCCCCCCCCCCCCGCCCGGCCCCCCCCCCTGCCACCGTTGCCAGGAGCCCCCAACAAAAGGCGGGCGCGCTCGGTCCGGATTTACCCGGGGGGGGGGGTCGAGGGCGACGGCTCCGGTTCCCACGTCTCCTCCTCCTCTTGTCCCTGCCCGGCCCGCGTTCTCCCTCTCGGGCGGCTCCTTCCGCTTTCCATGCAATTGCAAAAAAAAAAAAAAATAGGAAGCGCGGGGGGGGGGGGGCAGGGGGGGGAACCCGGGCCGGGGGGGGGGGAAGGGGCCCCCCGCCCCCCCGGGGCCGCGCCGCGGCGCCCCCCGCCTTGCAAAAGGGCCGAGTCCCCGCTCCCGCCCCCCCACCCTCTCCGGGCTTTCCCCCCCCCTCCCTCCCTCCCGCTGCTCCGGCGTGCGAACGGAGTGGATTCGAACCTGCGGACTCGGCGCGGCTGTTCCCAGGGCTCCGCGCGCCTCCCTCCGGCGCTTCCATTGTCTCCGCCGCGAAGTTCCCAGCGCCCGCTCTTCCCTCGGCCGCTCCCGCCCCCTCCTCCCTCCTCCCCCCCCCCCCCCGGCGGCCCGGTTGGTTTTATGGTCCGCTCGTTTCGTTCAGGAAAGCGAGTGGGCGGGCGGGGGGGAAAATAAGAACTTCATTGGACAATGCCATTTAAGGATTATTATTATTATTTTTTAAAGAGAGACAGAAGGAAATTAGAGATGTCAGGAGCGAAAAGGCGTAGCAAGGCATCCTTTCTCGCCTCTACAGGTTGTTGTGTTTTTTTTTTTTAAAAATCCTAACTCTATCCTAAACTATATGACAAGAAAGCGTGGGAGAAATACTATGATGGTTTGGAGAAATACTATGATGGTTTGTCGTATCTACCAAAGCAAGGATGGATTTTTCCCAACCCAAGGGTCCCAAATCACCCAGGCCAGGGGTCTCCAACCTTGGCCACTTTAAACCTGGCGGACTTCAACTCCCAGAATTCCCCAGAATTTGCTGGCTGGGGAATTCTGGGAGTTGAAGTCCTCCAGACTTAAAGTGGCCAAGGTTGGATTACCCTGAGTCCCAGCCCACTTGAACCTATCCTGGTCAGGATATATATTTTACCCTGGTCCACAGTTACAGATAGTCCTTGACTTATAAACCATTCATTTAGTGACAGTTCAGTTACAGCAGCGTTTTAAAAAGTGACATGCCAGTTTTTCACACCGGCATTCTTGGCTGCCTCCCCACGATCAGAATTTCGGACACTTGGCAACTGGCATGTACTTCATGACGGTTGCAGTGATGTCCTTTTGCAACCTTCTGACAAGTCAATGGGGAAGCCGGATTCACTTAACCGCGTGACTATCTTAACAACCGCAGTGATTCACTTTAACAACGGTGGCAAGAAATGTCGTAAAAGGGAGCAGAATTCACTTGACAACCACCTCACTTAGCAACAGAAATTTTGGAATGGCCTGCGGTTGTAAATAGGGGATTATCTGCATAGATTCTCCTGCTTGAGCAAAGGGTTGGACTAGATGACCTCTGAGGTCCCTTCCAACTCTTGTTATTCTGATCTGTTCTGCAAATCCTGCTATTCCCTGACTTTGGGTGGGCTTCACAGCATTTCACAATAGTGAGAAATCCGGATTATGGAGAGTGTGAGGAAACAGCCAGTAAATATTAACAGAGTTGGAAGAGAGGGCATCTAGTCCAACCCCCAATATTAGTGGGGGGGGGGTTGACCCAGATTTTCTCCCACAGGGGTAAGTTAACTGATCTTCTCAAGGCCTGATTGGGGAGTTTGGATCCCCTAATCCTAGGGTTGGATCAGGTCATAGTTTGTTCTGATGCATTTTCCCGAAAATGGCCACGTCAAGGTTAACAGGCTGTCCTGGAGAACTTAAACTGCCCTTTCCCCATTGTGTGAGGTTGTGACTGACGTTGGCTGACAATGATATAGAGATTGAATTGTTTGTTCAGCTTATCCCACTAAGGCAGTGCTACTCAACCTTTGAAGACTTCAACTCCCAGAATTCCCCAGCCAGCTTTTCCCCGACTCACCCATCTTTTTTTTAAATTTTTTTTTTAAATATATATTGAATATACACATTAAAAAAACATTGAACGCGGTGGTGGTCTTTGACGTATATTTCTGTCAAATGATTTTTACATTGAGAAAGACACAAAAGTTATATACATTTATACCCACATATGTACATGTATACATTTGAGCTTTGTACGTTATTTTACTTCTTTTTCCTTAATCCTCAGGTATGAGGTCCCTCACCTCTTCCCTATTTCACCTTAAATTCTTTATTTCAATTTTGTGAACTCCCTTTCATGTCCCTCCAATAATAAAACTTATTCCATACTTTATAGTATTCTGATTTATCTTGTCCCTTCAATTCTAGTGTCAACCTATCCGTTTCGGCGCATTGTAATATCTTACCAATCCTAGCATCTTCACTTGCTTTCCAATTTTGGGCGAATATCATTCTTGCTGCCACGATTACATGAACAATTAGATAGGTATCAACTTTGCTAAATTTCTCTTCCATTATTCCCAGTAAGAACATCTCTGGTATATAGTGAATTTTTAACCCCCTCATTCCCTCTAGCCATGATCAAATTTTATACCAAAACTCCTGCCCAGCTCACCCATCTTAAAGTCACCAAGGCTGAGTAATGCTGCCTTTAGTGGGTGAGTATTTAGGAAGCAACAAGGATGTACAACGGCTTCCTCTTCTTGGCGTGGTGAAACCAATTAAGAATCCCAACGCTCGGGTGGGAGTCGTGCAGTTTAAGATGCAATTTATTGGCCAGGTGCATCAAAAGCGTATTTATTACCCATGGTTCACCTAATCACAGTCTCGGGGATTAGCCAGACTTTCTGGTTTGGGACAACACCACGATGCACAAACTAAACACAGGCGTTTCATTTGCACAATCCCCTGAGGCTAAAATGCAGCTGGTAGGTTTTGTGGAGCGGAGAGTGGTGGAAAAGAGCCACCTTTTTGTATGCTGTGTTTTCTTGGGCCGACCTGCTTTTGGGAGGAAACTATCGTTGCGTAGTTAAGGAAAATGGCTAAGGGACAAAGTTTGGTCTAATGCAGTTCTCCAACCTTGGCCACTTTAAGACTTGTGGACTTCAACTCCCAGAATTCCTCAGCCAACGTGTGGACTTCAACTTTGCTGGCTGAGGAATTCTGGGATTTGAAGTCCACAAGTCTTCACGTTGCCAAGGTTGGAAACCCCCTGAATTCTAATCAAAATTTCCCAAGCTGACCTACCTTGCGCTTTTAAAATCATCACACAAACAATACACAGGAGAACAATATGGGGACTGTAGTCCTAGCCCCCACCCCTTCCCCGGCGGCCCTCTTTAAGCGAGGGAGGGGCTGCGGGGAAACAACCCCGGGGGTGGGGGAAACCTCAGTGGATACTGTGGGGTGGTTATGGCAACCTTCTTGGACAAACATCTCTCGTTACTATCGCCTCTGAGCTAACTGACAATATGTTGTGTAAATATACCGCACCGGGTTTCCTGTTTCGTGGAGGCTTCCAAGGGGCAGGGAGGCTGGAGGAATGGATAGGAAGCGGATCAGGTGGGTCGAAATTCGAAGAATAAGAACCAGGGACCCAAAGACCCTCCTCTGGGCGTGCGTGTGTGTGTGTGTGTGTGTGTGTGAAAGGAACCCAGATTCCACACAGCTCTGAACCCTTAAGGCAAAACCAGTTTTTGAAGTTTTGGCAGCCGTGGACGTAACACACACACACACACACACACACACACACACAAACGCACAAACGCACACAAGGTCATGTATGCCCAGTTACAGCCTCCCACACGTCACGTGACTGTGGTTTGCTATGTTTTGGTTGTTTTTTTGCCAGTTTCTAAGCAATTCCTTCTGGTTTCCATTTAAAGATTTGAAGTTGCCATTTGAAGTTGCCATTTGTTTGACCACTCTGATACATAGTCAAGATCTTTTTGTAGGGTAGCAGTATTGTCTGTGGTATTGAACAGCTTTACATCATCAGCGAAAAGAACGCAATTGCTCTTAATATGATCACAGAGGTCGTTTATGTAGAGTATGAAGAGGGTTGGTCCTAGAACACTGCCTTGGGGGACACCATTGTTGACAGGTACAGAATTTGATAGGACGCTCCCAATCTTGACCATTTGTTGTCTGTTTGACAGGAATGCTTCTATCCAGTTATTCAGTTGTCCAGAGATACCATAGGATTTTATTTTTAGGAGTAGTTTGTCGTGTACCACTGAATCAAAGGCTTTACAGAAGTCTATGTAGATTGCGTCTATTGCTTTGCCCTGGTCGAGTTGTGTCGTCCATATGTTTTTGCAGTGTAAGAGTTGCAGATTACAGGATAGTTTTTTTCTGAAACCAAATTGTTTGTTAGAGAGTAGGTTGTTTGTCTCTAAGTGGAGGATGATGGATTGGTTAATAATTGATTCCATGACTTTACAGGTGACGCAGCATAAGGAGATTGGCCTGTAATTTTCAACTAGGCTTGGGTCTCCCTTTTTGAAGATGGGGATGACTGTGGCTTGTGACCATAGTTTTGGCAAGGAGCTGGTCCTGAAAGATTTTTCAAAGATTATGCTTAGAGGTTTGGCTATGGCAGTGGATAGCTTTTTTAAGAAGTAGGCACATATTCCATCCGGTCCAATAGATAGGGATGGTTTTAGATTGCGTAGTGCTTTTTCAACATTGTCTTCTGTGAAATCGATATGTATTAGATCATTGTAGTTATCTGTGGTACGGCTAGGAAGTACTGGGCATGATCCATTGCTGTTTACAAATACTGAGCTGAAGAATGTGTTAAAGATGTTGGCTTTAATGGTGTCGTCGTTGCAGTCTTTACCATCAGGTCCTATCAGATGGTATCACGATGCCCCTTGTGGGGGGGAAATAGACTTGTTTAACAACCACAGGTTTGCTTCATGGCCACACAAGGTTCACTTAATGGCCACGGCCACGCCTAACTGCTGTGAAATTCCCCAGGCCCAGCTGTGGAGTTGAACCCTACCCAGAGAAGAGCAACTAAGATGATGAAAGGCCTGGAGACTAAAAGATACAATGAACGGCTGCAGGATTTGGGTTTGGCTAGTTAAAGAAAAGAAGAATTAGGGGGGGACATGATAGCAGCCTTCCAGTATTTGAGGGGCTGCTCCAAAGAGAAGGGGGTCAATTTATTCTCCAAGGCCCCCAAAGGCCAGAGAAGGAATAATGGATGGAAACTGAACAAGGAGAGATTCAACCTGGAAATAAGGAGAAACTTTCTGACAGGGAGAACAATCAACCCGTGGAACAGTTTTGCCTTGTTGTGGGAGCTTCATCCCTAGAGGCTTTCAAGAGGAGACTGGACTGCCATCGGTCAGAAATGGTGTAGGGTCCCCTGCTTGGGCAGGGGGTTGGACTAGACGACCTCCCAGGTCCCTTCCAACTCTGTTAATCTGCATTCAGAGGCCAAATGCAGCTGCCA